AAGAAATGCTTTAACGGACCAGGGATTTAGCTCAGTGGTTCTACCGCCTGGCTCGCAAGTGCAAAGACCAGAGTTTGATCCCTGGTACCAAAAAAAGTGAAAAAGAAATGCTTTAACAAGGCAAAATATATATTCTAGCATAAATTATTTATGTCAAGCTAGCCTTTGTAGTATGCCAATTGCCATTCAAAACTGATTTAAAAAAAATTCCATGTTAAATTCTCATGTAGAAATAACCAATACATTTAAAAATACTATTACATGGCTTGAAAACTTACTCAACTCTCACCCTAAAAACTGTAAGAAATTAAGACTAAATATGAATGGAATGTATAATGGTATAGATTTACTTTTTCATAGTAAGAAAGAGAAATATTTTAGTTTTAATTAAAGCATTCAAATTTAAAAACAAGTTCATTGAAACTCCAAGTACAACAGTGAAACATTGCCTTTGGTAATTATCCATCATACTTCAAAAGTAAATGAAATTGTCAACAACTAGGAAATATTAAAACTGGGTTTGCTCTGTTTTAACTACGTCCGTTGTCATCTTTTACTAATTTCACAGGAAAACACTTAAAGGGCCTCAGCCTGGGCAATGAAGATGCAATAGTGTTCAATCAGCCAAGTCCCATTGGGTATCAGATACCAATGACTCAGGACTGAAATCACTGTGTCTAGACTCTCTGGCACCTGCCTTCACTTATTTACCAGTGACCAGAGGCCAACCCCTACAGCTCTCTGCATTCACGCACACCTCCTCCTCCCCCACTGCACTGGCCCAACATCTTTGAATGATTATGCCAGAACTTCGCATGCCTCCGGAATCTCTTCTAACTGCCTATTCCCTAACTCTTTTGTTTGAAGTGAGGCTGTGGTTTCTGAACTTCAGCAGATAATGGCAGGCAAGAGCAAAGGGGGCTGTCAGAAAGGACGTTTACCAGCATTCAGCAAAAAAAAAAAAAAAAAGATATAGATCAAAGAGGGCCCAAATAGGACAACTGTGGTGGAAAGCATGTGGATCACTAGGAAGACTCTTGCACAGTGTTCTAGGGTGAAATATTAAATAACACTATGACATCGCTACCTAACCATGTACTTTGATTGGTCGTTCTATTACCAATAAATACTTTTATAAGCATCTGGATGGCATTTGCACCTATTTAAACAAAGCATACAGAGGTCTAAATAACAATGAACTGTTAATGTGTACTTTTAACTATTATTAGAATACAATCATTAACTCCTGGTTATCCCAAGTATGCCTACCTGAACCAATCTACCCACTGAGACCATTAAGACTATGTATAAAGCAAGATTTGACCTGGCCCCCAAATTTTGCAGGTTAGTGACAAATGGGAGAAGAAAATTAGAGTACACTGGATAATTAGAGACAATAAAGTACAAAGAAAGCAAAACAGTATAATTTTGGGAGACATTGCAAGGTCTATTTTATGTATTGTCCCCTATTCTTTTTTTGTTTGGTACCAGGATCGAACTCAGGACCTTGTGCTTGCCAGGCAGGCATGGCATCACTGAGCTACATCCCTGGCCTTTTATCACCTATTCTTGATGTTAAATATTTTAAAAATTTTCATCTTATTATGGATTTATCTTATAAAACACTTGTAAGAAAGGCAATATTTAGACTATGAATGGATTAAAAATAGTGAGAAAGACTTGACATTTTACTAAGAATATCTTACTTTTGTATAGTGATTTACAGTTTATAAAACCCATATATATCTAATATAATTAAAGAATGTAACTATATTCCACATTCATTTTGACCATATAAAATGAATGTGAATTACAACTGAGCCACTGCTTTTCTACCTTCAAAGTCATTTTAGGCTTCTCTTTGAAATATGCATGTACAATAACTAAAGATGTGTACTAAACAATTATTAATATGTATAATTCAAAGAGAACAAAATATTAATTAACTTTCAAACAACCCAAGTTTGATATGGCTTTCTTTAATAAGCTGGTTAATCAGATGCTGTTACAAGTAAGCTTAAAGCTTTACTAGCAATTATTAATACTGCCTCTGGAAGGAATACCCAATTCCTGCAGGAAATTTAGAAATTTCACTTAATTTCTGATTTTCTTTTCATCATTCTCATATTCTGCAATGAACTTAGCACTAGGTAGCAATAAAATCATGCCAACATTCTCCTAAATATTATGTCAAAGCTGGGCATTGTGAAGTACAAGTTATAGAATGGATGGCACTTCAAGTACAAATATTCTAGAATATCATTTGGATTGCTCAAACTACTGCCTCATACTAAAAAAAGGTTTAAGATACTTGTAATGTAATTTGGTACATAACCTCAGTATTCTAGTAAAACCTGAATTAAAAAAATAAGACCTTGGGCTCAGAATCTGAATGAGTTTTCGGAAATTTTGTTCATGAAATAGAGATTATACATGTTCTGAAAACTCCATTGCTGATGTGTTTCATATTAGAAAACCGGCAAGAAAACACGGAGGAAAATTGTTCTGAAAAAGATATGGAAGAATTTTGCACAAACAAAGTTTTAAAATACAATAAAAACAAAGTCTAAAAAGTAGTCCAACCAGGCTATTTTTAGTCATTCTCTTGCAATAAAGCTTTAAAATTTATATTTGAGATTATACATTCTAAAAAAGTAGAACTCCAAATTCAAAAATCAATGTGATGTTTTCTACACTTTTGGTTTGCATTTCTTTCTTTTTTATTTAATATTGTTCTTTTAAAAATTTAACTGTGATAAAAACAGTTAATCTGTGCAAGAATCTTGTTCTTTTTGACTGTTTTTCCAATTCCTATTCTGTAATCAATGAAGTTCTGACACTAAATGAGATTGGAAATGGAGCCAAAAATGCAAAGCAGAAACCTATAGAACATATGGACTGAGCAGTAAATCGCCTGTGATCTCCCCTTGACATGGCTACTCTTTTATTGAAAACTTGTTTGACAAAGAGTTTGATCACACTTTCCATTGGCTATAGTGTGATACTTGCTATCTCTGTAAGCCCTGCCTTGTTAGATAAGGTGTGGTATATATTCTTTGAAGGATGTCTACTTCCTCTAAACAATCATAATTAGTTTATCCCTTGATTTGAAAGTCTAAGACATTATCCTTGAGAGTTCATCAGTTTTTAAAATACATAAATAAAATGTTAAAATTCTGGACTATCAAATTCAGTATTAATATTGTCTTACTAATTTGGAATAAACAGATGTTCAATTAGAAATAATGTAAAGACAAATTATGATATATATCAATTACTTTAACATACATTTAATATTCTTCATATTAGGATAGTAAGAAATTTCCCAGTAGGAATACGAAGAGGAATTATTTTAGTACGTATGACTTAGTCATACTTTTTAAAGTGTTTTAAAAATGTATGTTATTTTTATTGTACATTATATACTTTTCAATTTTGCTTTTTCTATTTTTAAAGCTATTTCATAGAAAATAATGTTAAAAATTAGAGTAGTAAGTATTCCAATTGTCAGATATTCCTATTAGTTGAGCTTGGTTTACTAATGATTAATGGCACAAAGGTGATTCCATGAATGTTAAATATCCTTAAGGGAACAATCACATAGATATGGAATCTCTAAACTTATAATAGAGTCCATGTAAAAAAAGTCAGTAGGCTTCTCCAAAATGAATAGACGTAACATGTGAACTACATCAAGCAAGCGCAGACATGGTAGTGTATGCCTACAATCTTAGTTCCTCAAGAGGCTGAAGAAAGAGGATTTCAAGTTTAAGGCCTTTGTGGGCAACTTATGGAGACCCTGCCTCAAATAATAAAAAGGGCTGGGGATGTAGTTCCGTGGTAGAGCACTTGCCTAGTAGGTGTAAAGCCGTGGGTTCAATCTCTAGCACCGAAGAAGAAGAAAGAAGAAAAAAAAAACAGTGAAAGAAGATGAAAGGAGGAGAGGAAGGAGGAGGAGAGGAAGGAGGAGGAGAGGAAGGAGAAGATGGGAAGGAGGAGGAGGAGGGAAGGAGGAGGAGCAGGAGGAGAAGTAAGAATCAGTAAATCAAGCAACTGAGTCATATAAAAAAATCTTTCTTGAGTTGAGAACAGTGCTATTAAAACAAAAGAATCTTAATGAAGCATTTCCCTGTCAGAGAATGCAAAGCATTTAAAACTATCAGCTCTAAAGAAAATTAAAAGACAAGTGACAATTGGGAAATACTGTATAGTATTTTTAAAGTGTAAATAAACAAAAAATATCACATTATTAGAGAAACAATAACCACTATTGTAAAAAGTGAAATGCTGGTTGGATATATAAACTTATTCCTTCTTAGAACATAATTTGACTAAAATGTGTCAAAGACATAAGTGCTCTTACATTTTAAACTAGTAGTCTACTTCTAGGAACTTAAAGAAAAATTTATAGATCTGGATAAACATTTATGACTATGATGTATTATTTTCATTATGTTTGCTTACATATGTTTTTTGTGATAAACTGAAAAAATATAATAATATTTAAATATTATAATTTACATATTTATAATTTAACAATATTTAAATAATTGTTATGAAACAGAATATTATACAACTATTAGAAATAATTTTGGAAGAATACTCAATGACAAGAGCATACTCATGATCTATTTTGAAGCAATATATGAAAATTATACATGCCATATAATCCCAATACACTACTATTTTTTAAGTCTATAGGAGAAAGTGTACCAAAATCTTAACTAGTTGTCTCTGGGTTTGGAATAACAGAAAGTTATTCTCACTTTCATACAGTCCTATATTTTATTTTATTGAAGTGCTGAGGATTGAACCCAGGACCTTTGGCCTGCTGTACCACTGAGCTGAGAATGTAGCCTCAGTTCTGTACTTTCTAAATTTTCCATAATAAATTTATATTTTAATAACAAGAACTTTTAAGGAAAATAAGATCTTACAAATCAAGCAAAGGGTGTCAAACAAAATACATATTTTAAGTGTTAAAACACTTAATCACTTACCTGAGGTAACACTCAGTGCATGCAAATATTGACTTAATCTGATCATCCATGCTTATGTGATGAAGCACACATACTGCTATTTATTTGTAGTTTTCGTTGCCTAAGAATAAAATAAGATAATGGGTATAGTAAAGTACACACACATTCTATACTTACTCAAATTTATATGCTAACATTTTTAAGCTACTGAGTAAAATCCTTATACTTTAATGTGGAAAATATTCTGAGCTCCCTAATTCAAATCCAAAGTTTGGAGCAATTCATGTTTGCTGGGATACACATCTGGAAACATTTTCAGGAAAGATTATCTATTAGCCACAACCCTAAAAATGTATCATTTTTTAGTAGCCCAATATAAGGTCTTTGACCTCCCCATCCTTACTGTTTTATCAAAATATATGGTTAATACAATCCTTTGACAGTGAAAATGTATAAGACATAGTAAATAAAAATGTGTATATGATTCATATGAATCAAAAACTGGAAATAACTAAAGTTAAAGAAGTAGAAATTATTTCTAAAATAAAAATATATGACTATAAAATGCTAAAAGTTCTAAAATAAGCACAATCTAAGAAATACCTCAGAATTTCTCAGGTTAGACTGTTCAGAGCAAGGGATGTAGCTCAGGGTAGAGTTTAAGATGTATGAGAGAAAGTAATATTTAAAATCTTAAGATGAATATTAGTAAGGTAGTGGCAATAGAAGATATATTATTTATACTAATTATTTGAGGGTGAGAATTTTTTTTTTTGGTACCAGGGATCAAACTTGGGACCTTGCGCTTGAAAAGCAGGCAGCAGAATCACTGAGCTAAATCCCCAGGTCGAGAATTTTATTTAGAGGAAATGCAAAAATTGTGAAATTCCTCCAAACAAGAGTAGAGACAAACTAGGGATCTTTATCCCCAACATTTTGTTCTTGAGATCACAGCAATTTAAATATAAGATTCACAGATACTAATGTACATTTTCAGAAGTCACATGTTTACACTGTTGAAGGGATTCATTTATACTTATTTTAAAACCTCAAAGCACAGTCGCCATAGGAAAACACAAGGTTTTCATGATGTGAAGGTAAAAAACGAAAAAAAAATACAACTTTATTTCTCAAGGAGACAAATATATTAGGTTTTGGTCAAACAGTACTTCATAGTACTGTTTTCTTCTCTTCAGGAAGTGTACTATCATAAAATCTTGTAAAATAGGATATTAAAGCAAACTCTTACATTCTGAATAATTAGTCTCTTCTTGCTCTTCCAGGTATGTTCTTTCACTCATCTATAGGTAAATTCTAGTGCTAATTAATTTTTACAAAATATTATTTGAAGATATTTTCTCTATATAATGGATTCAATGAAAAGTAGGAAGTGAAGTCATATAATTTACTTGATGGTAAAAGGAACAAAAGGAAATCAATAACCAAAAGAGTCTTCAATATCAAAGTAAATCATCAAATATTAAAATCCAATGTGGGGCTTGTAATAAAAGTTTTTATTCTATACTCCAGGACAGTCTTGCTGTTGGTGGTGTTAATAAAAAGACTCTAAAAAACCAATGTCCTTAGGTGGTGCGTCACACATATAAAATGAGAGGAAATAGAGATTTGCCTTTAAGAGACATATGTTCGATTTATTTTTTAAATTTATATATTACTTGGTACATTTTAGGTTTACAATACATTTACATTTATCATTGAGTGTTTGTACCTGTACATGATGTATCTTAGTTCTTATTTTTCCCCCATTACCTATGTTCCCTTCACCCCCACCACCCTTCCCTATTTACATAGACTTTGTTTCCATTTTTTTTTCTTTCTCATAATTTTTCCTTTCCCTTCTT